ATTCGAAGAGGCTGAGCGAGGCGTCGTGTGCAGCGGCGTGGGCCATTGCCGTGGACGTGTGTGTGGGTGTGGGTATGGGCGTAGTGGTGAGCGAGTCGCAGGTCCATACGGCCGCGTGGACGTGCTGCTGTTGCGTGGCCATGAGGGTGCCAGCCGCGACGGGGGAGTGAGAGAGAGTGCAGACAGAGAGACCCAAGGGATGTGGACATGCACAAGCGCAACGCGTGGGTCGTGTCGCGCAGGCGAGGATGGTCGTGTGAGTGAGGCGTGGGCGGGCCGTGGGTCAGTCAGTAGTCAGTAGTCGGTAGTAGTCAGTCGTAGTTGGTCGTCGGGAGAGAGCACACACACACACACACACACGCACACACAGGCTGCTTGACGGGCCAAGCATCGAAGGCGATCCGGTTGTCTGGCCGGGCGATCCTGAGCCTCTGTCTCTGCCTCAGCGGCCAGCGGGTCGAACTACGGCCAATTCGCCATGGACAGGTTGGAACACCGTCCCATGCCACCGCCGCCGCCTCCTCTCTTGAATCCACACCAGCAACTGTTGGGCGCGCCAAGCACACGTCTTCTGCTGCATAATGGCATACATGGGCAGTCGGCCCTGCTGGCGCTGGTGGCGCGGCACACATACTACGGTGGGTTGGCGTAGCCTATCGGCCACCAGCCCACCAGCCCTGCCACTGACTTGCATCTGCATCCATTGTCTGCCAGCTCAACACCGAGTGTCTGGCTGGCTGTCTGCTTCAATCAGGCCTAGTGCCCTTGTTGCGTGACTACTAACTGACCATGTGGCTGCGTAACGTTGTGTATGCATGTTGAGTACGGTACATCACATACATACATGACTATCACCCCTCCGTCGCGCACACACCGCCTTTGGATGCTCCGCCAAGTATGTACTTAGGAATATGTATTAATCATGGCCATGTCATGTCCACTATCATCTAAACAGAGGCGCCAGCTCAAACCCAAAAAAACCAAAACCACAATCACTCCAAACACATTCGCTTGCACAATCGGAAACGCCAAGCCAAACCCACCACCCAGGTCACCACCCCTTGCGCCTAGCAACCCACGTGAGCCACGCCGTGGCCAGTAATCCTACAAAAAACAAAAGCCTCCATGACTTGCTGCGTTACCCAGACCGGGCGCACGATGAAGTGGCACCCACTCGACACAATCGTCAGATAACCACCGCCTGCCTTCTGGCAACCACCGCTCTGACCCCACTTTGCCACTGCCAGCACCACCACCACACACACACACTGCCGCCCCGACCGCCAGTAATCCCATCCACCCTACTGTACCTAGAACACCCAGTTGCCCTCCGTGTCTTGATCCTCCAACCCATCGAACAGCACAATATCCCAATCTACCGTCGATCCTGTCCCACACCCCGATGTTGGCCACAGCGAATTGCTAGTAAACGAGAGGACGGGCAGACGATCGCCAGATGCCGTTGCATTCATCAGCTTTCCCGCGTCAGAGTCAATGTCGAACCCCGTCCGCACCGGTGGCTTTTGAAACTCCATCTCCACTGTCCCGAAAAATGGCAGCGTGTGTCGTGTGTTCCCGGTCGTCTGTCGGTTCGGATCCAACGACGATAGCATCTTCTTCAGTGTGATGGCACTGCGAGCTGCTATCTTTTCCCGTGTTCCTCCCGCCTTGGCCAGCTTCTCCATCTCGCCAATCAGTCGGCATATCATGGCAAAATCTGTTCCCTTTGTCTGTTGCACCTCCATCTTGTCCTTTGAGCTCAGATCAATCACAATGTCCAATGTAAGCGTCACAGCCGCAATAAACACGGCCGTCTCCGCTAGTCGATAGCACGCCTGCGTCATGTTGGCGTTTCGGAGCGCAAACCATCGCATCAAGAGGTTACGACTTGCGTGCAGTGCCGTCACCTTTGAGTAGTCGTATCGCTTATCCTGTTGAGCTCGCAGTAAGTATGGCAGATGAATAAACATCCGTGTCTCGAAGTGAAACATCTGAACTATCAGTCGCTCCAGTGCTGCTGAAGATTCGGGCGATCGTGCTGTAGGCGGAATATTCGGCACCTCCCAAAACTCTTTTGGCATCTCTCGCATGTACATCTCGAGCTTCTCATCCAGCTTGAGTGCTGCAGAGTACCCTTGCGGCGACACTTCGCGGTCCAGCTCCGCTACCTGCTTAGTGATTTCGTTGAGCTTCGCACGGTGTTGAAGATGCGAGTCCGCGTCCGCTGGCACTGGATAATTCTCCGCCCCAAAAGGAAGCCGAAGATGCAGACACAAATACAGGTCCACATCAACAAAGCTACGCCATATGCCCTTTGCATTCGTCACCGTTGGAATCGGTGGCTTCTGGTCTTCTTGCGTTATAATGCGTTGGAACCCCATGAGATGGGCCAGGTTGAGGCCGCGTCGAACCACCAGCCACGACTGCCTCAGTGATGCGTTAGTCAAGTGGTAAAATGCGAGTAGAAGCAGCGTCTCAAGCCCGTGCAGTGTCATCATCTGTTCGTCTGACGAGGCAACAATAGATGTAACCGTTGCAACATAGCTCTGCATGGTTGCGTCCAAGTCGTGTATGCTCGACAGTCGCGATACATCAAAGTCGGCCGGGAGTGAGTTAAGACAGATGGCCAAGTGCAGAAGCGTCCGAGCCACAATGATTGATCTTTCCTGAGCAACTGCATGCATGTCGAGGGCGTATGACTGGATGTCTTTGCGCACATAAATCTCTTCCGACGCTCGATACATGTTCTCGAGTATCATCCAGCCGTTCGACGACTCAAACACAATATCCGCGTCGTGTTGTGATGGCAGCAGAGCCACCAACGATCGATGGGCATGGTCATATACCTCACATGATTCTTTGCGCTCTTGCTTATCCACAAGTGTTTGTATCGAAGGTGCCGAAGTCCATGTTTGTGCACCGAGCTGCTACTGTCAGTGGGTCGCGTGCCAGCAAAACATAGGGAACTCACAATGCCGTCTCCTATCGACGACTCGCTCCGCACATCGCTTGACAAGCCTAATCTACACCATTTGCTGATCTTCTCGCTCGAACCCGATGCAGTCAAGGGCGGACTTTGTAGCCCACTCGGTGTGCTATTCGTCGAACCCTTGCGACACACAAATCGTTCGAAGAGCTGTTCAAGCTTGCTCAGTCTTTCCGCCATATGCACTGAGCATGTAGTATTCTCCTCATCTGCAGACCCTGCAATACTTTGGTCTAAGCTAACCAATGATGGCATACTGGTCTGGCCTACATTTGCGTGAACCTTGCGTTTCTTGCCTATGGAAATGTCAGTACACTGCCCCAAACACACTAGTATATCATCTCCTATCCTACATTGCCAACAAGCCCGACGGGGGCTTTTGGATGTTCTTTTCCTAGAATGGTTACTCGCGTTGCTGGGCATATCCATATTAGCTTCACAGAACATGCAATACTGGGATTCTCTGATCTGTCTGTCGACACATCGTTTTGTAAAGGGTGCGACCTTACTTTCATAGCGGGGCGAAGGCAATGCGATGGCGATGGCGGATGTGGAGCTGACAATTGGGGTGCCGGCCGCAATTCGTCCGCACTTAAGGGTCAGGCCGAGAATATCCATGCTAACAGGGCGTCCACATCCGGCCCTTTTCTTGGTACCCGCATACCGTCGTAGCCACTTTTACTTTGGCACGCATGGTTGTTACGATGTCCTCATGGATGTAATTCGTTCTTGCACCTCTCGGCCCAGCTCATCGTCGTCCCCAGGTTCCAGAGCAAACTGATCCATCCAGATTAAAAAAACAAATGCGCTGTATTGTTGATACCACGCCACGCATCGGCATCTATGGAGCGAGTAATCAGAGCGCGACCGCTGCTTAAACGCCCTATCTCCGCGATGCGCAACATCGACAGGGCGCACCAAAACCGACTGAGGCTTATGGGACCGTATCCTAGGCGATCGAACTTTCCCGGATCTACTGTTCCCGTTGTGTCGCATTACTCTACTGTTTGGTCCATCTCATCGGTGATTATCATCCCTTTCCGACGTCCGTTGCCCGAGTAAAACTGCTCGGCAATGACAAGTTTTGTTGCTACAAGGACCCACGCAATGCTGTTGCAAGACACGTCGTACCTTTGAGATCGTCTCCAACCGGTGGGTGCATCTGACAAACGGGTACTTTGTCATTGGATCCTGCGATTGCCGACATCGACTATCGTACGCGGACGACGCGCAACAACTGAAGACGGAGTATGACGGCGAGTGTAACCTAAGGATTCTCTGTAGAAACGCTAGTGCCAAAATTGATGCGTTCTCCCCGCCACCCCGGTATTTGCATGTATGGGTGACCAGGACAGAATAGGACTAAAATCGTTCGTTACCAACCAAAGGCAGATAGTATGCAAAGTGTCAAATTACGCGATTCGATTTTCGGCGTTAAAAAAGGCGTCCGACCCGATTTTCGATTCCCGTTGCCAGAAAGAAGCACGTGGCCCGCTTTGCGTGGGGCGAAACAATGCCCGAACGCCTGGTTTTGAGATCCCTAACGTAAACAGGTTTACATTTATAGTCCGACCGAAATGTGGGCATATGCACATGTATATAGATAGTTTCGTCGGGTAATTTTTCATGTGATGCTCGCCGATTCCTCGGGTACAGCGCTGAGTCTTATCCAACCCGCGCTGGCATCGTGATTATAGTCATGGATGAAAGTGAGGAACTCGTTATGGTCATGTAGCTCTTTAGGAAGAGCTAAGGAGACGCACAATCAAGCTGGGTAGTAAGCATGGATAACAAAAAAGTCTCACATCATCATTCGCGGATGGACAAGTGGGAAAGGGTTGCGCATGACAGCTATAGTCTCCCAACCGTTGGGAGATAGCGAGTGTATCTTCTGCAGGCACAGATGCTGACCGGAGGCCGTAGGCGTACCCGTTGTCGATTTTGTCAGCAGTCGTATTCACTATCTGCGGCGAATGCCTAACTCCGATGCAATGCAATATGTGTGGTTACCCTCTCAGGCATACATGTCGTCATAATCCTCCTCGTCGTCAGCGGGCGGCGGAGGGGGCTGCTTTTTCTTCAACAATTCTTTGCGATCAAGAGGGCACGTAGAATTCAGCTTGAGCCACGGGCCTATGCAGTCGAGATCAAAGCGGTGATCGTCGTGACATGGAAGCTGAACCACAAGCGGATATTTGTCTATGCACGCCTTGGTCAGCTGTGCTCCTTCCTGGTGCGATATGCAGCCTACCTTCGAGGAAAGGGTTGACACATATTGGACATGTGTCGGAAGATTTTAGTTTCTCCTTGGGCACCCTTTCCAATTCGTCCAGGAAGCTGTCGGGTACGCCCTTCAGTTCAGTGGGCGGATCATCGGCATTCTCGCGTAGTATCTCAATCATGCTAGCCAACAAGTCTCCCTCTGCGTTGGCCTCGTCCGCTGGTCGTCCGCGCATAGTCTCGAAAGCATTCGCGAGTAAGCGGAATGCCGCTGCCATATTCTCGGGCTGGGGGAGAGCATTGGGGTTTGTGTGTGACCGTGGATCGGATGTATCTACAAGCTCGAGCTGCGAAAAGAAGGTGGAGAGGTCTGGTCGACGCGGGGGCTGCTGCGGCTTTTCATCCTTGGTGGATATATTGTGCTCGACTGCCTCTAGTTATTCTACCGACTATGCTTCCAGACGAGCAGACTTACCCTCGTAGCCAGACATGGTGGCAATGGTTCCAATTGCGGTGGATATACGGAGGTTCCGGCCGGTGCGCTCGCCAGTTCGGCTTATAGAGCTGTGCAAAACTACGCGTCACGACGGCTGCCTTTAACGCGAGCATGGGGAAGAGGCGACCCCGCTGTGGCACGTGTGTGGCGCAGTACATGTGGCGCATGCCATAGGCGATTCTTGGCTCGGCGTCGCCTCTTTCCACTGGTACTTTCTGACACTAGACGAAACAACTGCAACTGTTCAACGGCCGCTTTTCCACTCTAAGTGGCAGCATGTCCCCATGTCCCCGGAGCAACAAGGAGATTAGGTGGCGAGTGACGGTGAGCCCCTGCCCGACAATCTGCACATGTGCAATATCGTTTCCGTGAGCATTTTAATTCAACGTTTCCTGGCACAACCCCCACTTCGAGCTCCTGTCCAAACAACCAGATGGGCATCACCATCTTGACAGTCGGGTCGCAAGAGCTGACGAAAGCTTATGATCGACAAGCAAACCTTGGCCCTGCACCACAGTCAGGACAGGCCGAGACTGCATGATTGGGAGCGGCTGGCGTCAAGTCGGTGCAGATAACTGGGGCACGGTGGAGCCCGGTGATCCAGATCATGCACAGCCTCCTCCTACTCCTAGTGCCCGCAGCGTCACACATACTTACCCCCTCCAAACACACCTTCGTAACATGCCGAAAGGGGCGCAGCCATTTCACAGCGGCAACATTGACAAGTGAGCTGGATTCACAAAAAGGCGCGACAGCCGCTGTTTGTCTTTCAACGCCCAACCTGCTCGTCGCTAAAAGCATTCGTTTTATCATTCTACACACTCACCGCCTTGGCCAAAGAGTAACCTTGACGACGATTCTACATTATTGAATATCCCTTTTAATAAATTCCCCGGCTCACTCCATGTCGCTGCTCATCATGTCGACCGATAACCCCTCTACCTTGGACAGATTATCGCCGGCCTGGATCCGTCGCCCACTCTCGCGGCGTTCAACATCGCCACAAAAAAGCATTAGCCCGACAACAGCAAACGGTTTTCTGGCACCAGAACCAGCACGAAGTAACAGTGACGAATCTCGCTCGCCACGCTCAAGCACTTCCGGCCGCCGTGGTTCAGTACGCGAAATAGTCAGCAGATTCCGCTCCTCATCAAGCACCAGCATGGGCAGCAACAAGTCACAGGACATTGACTTTAGCGAGGTAGAAAATTGGTTTCATGGCTTCCGAAAGTATAATCAGCTCGTCTGTAACACCATTTCGCCAAACCAGGCCTACCCATCAAAAGAATTCACAAAGGCATCCAAAGCCTTGACCAAAAACTGCGGTGGCCAGTTCATTCACGGCCTGCCCGAGGCTGTATTCGACTTCTCACTGCTATGGTGCCCTGCAGGCCACTTGAATCGAAAAGATACGGACGAACCAAGCTGGAGTTGGTCTGCATTCAGCGGTCCCGTGAATTTCCCCTTTGACCCTACTACTTGTCCAGACGTCTACAAGACGCCGCGTGGCGAGGGCGAGTGGTTTCGCTCCGAAGTCTTGAACTACCACATTGGTCCCGAATCCGCGCAATATACCATACGAAGAGAAAAGGGCAGCAGTTCTCTCCGCATCAAATACCCGCCTTATTTTCACGTTCCACGGGGCTTAGATCACAAGACGGATTCCAACACTTTGCGCTTCACCGCTTCGACAATTTCCGCGGATGGCTTCAGCGCAGAGCAGCTCGACCACGAGGGCAAGCAAATTCCCTGTTCGCACCTCATCAATGAAGACGACCAGCACTGTGGTGTAATTATGGACTACGAATCTTCTATTTCCCAGCCATCATCCACAGGGCCCTACGAATTTGTCCTACTCTCACGTAATCTATGGCGCAAACCGTGTCCTGAGAACCGTAAACCTGCTGGTCTCAATACCATGCATCCGCCTGGCACGCCTATCTGGACTGGAGATCACTTTTTGTGGGACAAGGAGGTTGACGATTTTGCGGCTGAGCAGTTTGAAGCTGGGCCTTGGAAAATGCTTAACGTTATGCTGATTAAGTGGGTGGGTGAGCATGCTGAGCGGGTGGCTGTGGCGAGGATACACGAGGACGCGTGGACTCGGCGGAGCCCAGTCAAGAAGGATATTGTGCTCCGGTAGGGATTTCCTTTTCGTTTTTCTTTTCTTAGGCATGCTCTGTTTTGTAGATGGGGCCTTTTGTATTTCTCTGCTTGACTGAAACATGACGATACCCCCTCTGTAAGCTTGAAAATTAATCGTATCATTCTATTACCGGGCAATGCATAAATTAAGATGAATGAAGTGCTTCAAGAACAGAATACTTTTTACTGGATCATATCAAAGCATTAGACTGATACGCGAAGTGACCAGAAATCTAACTACTGTATCTCAGTCATTTCAGAGAAATTACACTTTCTTCTTGAACTGCCTTGCTACTGTGAGCCTTGCAAAGATGACACACAGTGCAGATATCGTCGCCGTACCGCCAGCATAGAAGATGGCTGGGCGATAAACATCAATACTCTGACCTGCAGCATTGTCCTTTCCCCCACCTGCAGCCTGTAAAAGATAGCCAGCAATGGGTGCGCCCATGAGGTAGCCACCGGTCCACCCCGTCACAGACATGCTCATGGCAACGGCCGCGCGGCCAGGACCAAAGATGCCAGCAACGACAGTGGGCTGGGTGGTAAAGTAAGCACCATTGGCGACTCCGTTTATAATGGCGAACAAGACGAGGGGACCCAAGGTACTCGAGACAGGCCAGATAGCCAGCATGCTCGCCGCATTGAGTGCCATAGTAATGACAAACATATTAAGCGGCCCCAACTTATCGCACAATGGCCCAGCAATAAAACGGCCAATAGCACTGCAAGCGTTAAAGGCAGACACCAAGCCAGCGCCCGTTGTAGGACTAAGGCCAATCGACTGCGCAAACAGCGGCAGATAATAATTCGGCACGAAGAGTGCAAAAACCCCAATAGCACTCGCAACAAACGTAGCAATAAACGTACCGCTGCGAAACATGCTCACATCCACAAACGGCACGTTCCGCAACGGTACTCGATCCTTGAGCATGGCCGCAGCCGGCAGCCCCAAAGCCAGCGTAAGCAAACCCTGGATACGAAAGGTCCACGCAATCCCCACACGTCTGTACAGCGCCTCCAACGCAAGCGCCATGACGCACCCACCTATGCCACCGCCCAGCTTGATAAGCCCATTGGCAAGCCCCAGGCGCGCGCTAAAATACTGTACAGGCAGCGTATTAGCAACGGCATACACCATGGCCATGCCCACGCCCCCAACAACCCCATACGTGCCGAACAAGCCCGCCAGATTCTTCGTGCAGAAACTCGCGCCGATGAGACTCAGCGACATGAGGCTGATGCCGAGCAAAATGGTGGTTTGACAGCCGACGTGCCGCATCAGGCGTATGGCGAGGAGGCCGTAGAGAGCGCCGCCGGCGAGACCTAGGGAGCCGACGTAGGCGAGGGTCGAGGGGGACACGGTTTGAAGAGTCGAGTTTAGGAGGGCGGCTTGCAGGACGCCCCAGCAGTTTATGATGCCGTTGTGGCAGAAGGTTGTTATGGAGCAGCCTAGCACGATGATCCAGCCGTAACCGCCGTCCGGGATGGCGGAGACGGAGTATGCTGCATTTTCGGGGGCTTCATCGGGGGTTTGAGTGAAGGATGTGACAGAGTGGAGCGAGGATTTCTTTTGAGGGATGTTGAGAGTGATTATGTTTGGCGGCCGTATCGGTGTTAATTCGATGTGGTCTTCGTAGATTGTTGTTGTGGTTGTGGTACTAGCCATTGCGTAGACAAGCTTCTTTTTTTTTGCTTCGGTTTTGCGAGGAGAGGAGCTGTATCAACTCATTTCCAGATATTATGAAGGATACCTTTTTCTTTTAAATAAACATTGTGTGGGAATCTCTTAACATTGCTTCAACGGCAAACTGCTTTTTACCATCGGAAAGCGCTAGAGCGCGCCCTTTGGCCCCTCTTTTGGGTAACCAGATGTCAATATTACCTAAATGAGTCACATTGGCCCAGTAAGCTAACAAGCCCAACAAAACAAACATTCTATCACGTGTTAGTGCTTTGCATTGTATAAGATCTCGCGTCAAAGGCGTCAAGCGGGTGATGGAGTGCGGGGAAAAGGACTGTACGCATTGCAGCTGAGTCTTGCTAGTCATTCCATATGCTGCAGGGTCCAGGCCCTGAATTCCACACACGAAAATCCCCACTTTACACCTCATTGATCTTCACGCCAGCTTACAATGTTGGAAGCAACGTGAGAAAGCAGGTTTGCGCAACCAGACCCGAGTTTCAGGGTCGTTCTTGGCAATCTACATATCCCCCCTCCTCTCTTGCTTTACACACTTGAATTAATGATTACCCCCAAAACACCTCTAGTATCTGACCACCTTTCTTACCAATTCCCTCGAACAAATCAGATTGAACTGGTTCTCTTTCTCCTTGACTCCAATCAGAAAGTAACAACAGAAAAACAACAATGGCGACCGAAGACACAGTCCGCCTCTCCGAACCCCATGCCCCGCACCAAGCCTCCATCGACGCCTTCTCCTCCATCCTCGAAGACGTAAAAGCCGAACTCATAAAACTACGTCGTGACCATGATAGTAAACCCCCCCCTTCCTCTCCCTTTCCCCTTAAAATCCACTCTAAATCATCAAATTCCATCCATCCATCCAAAATAAAATCGCATAAACCAACCCAACCCAACCAGAACACGAACCCGAATACTTCACCCGCGTCCAGCACCTCTCCGACACCTCCCTAACTTCCTTCACCGCCTCGGACTTGGAACTCGTACGCGCCGCCACATCCGCGTACGGCATCCATTTATTCGGCAAAGTCAAGTTGCCAGCGCTGGAGGATGGATACGTGCACATTCGGATTTTCGGGGCTGCAAAGGAAGGCACGGATGGGAGTAGTGCGGAGGAGAGGGTGTATAGTTTGCATAGTATACATACGGAGGAGGTGGTCAAGGGGGATGGGGATAGGGTGTATCGGGCGGTGTTTGGGAGGGAGGATGGGTTGGAGTGGTTTGATACGTAAGGAGGTTACTGGACTGGATGGGGGGGAAAGAAATTATTCACGTGATAAGGTGTTCGTTTTTCATTCTACATAAACATAATAATAAAAACGCCAGAAAGTGTTTAGTATGAATCGCCGAAGAATTGGCTGGCGAGGGTGATGTCTTTGTCGCCGTTGGCAAAGTCCCAGCCTACAATGGTGGGATCTTGACTGCAGCAGATGATTCTACGTGCGTCGAATTGGAGTTTAAATACTCGTGAGTTGGTACCGTTTGTGTTGAGGGGGGCGGCTAGTGGGTGTGGAGCGTGATGATGGTGATGGTGGTGGTGGTGATGATGCGGTTGCGCATTTGCTGGACCTGGCTGTCCGACTGCTGCATGGCTAACTGGTTGGTTGGGCGCTATGACAGGCCCGGCTGTGATGTTACTCACGGCGGCGTTATTGCCAATTGGGCCATGCATAGCTTGTGAAGCTGCGTGAAGAGCATGTGCTTGTTGTGCCAGAGTCTGAGCTGCTTGGGCTTGTGCCTGAGCCTGCTGCGCCAGCGTCTGGAAATTGTTTTGTTGGGCGGCATTGAGTTGCTGATTGTTATGTTGTCCCGCAGCATTTGCGTTGGCTGCAGGTTGAACAACAGGCCTCCTAGGTCGGCCGCCCGCGGCTCGAACTGCGTCGTTTTGAAGCAATGTCTGAGACTTTTCCCAAGCTCCATCAGGTCCTCTCTTCCAAATAATCACAGTCTCGTCATAAGATCCAGATACTATGCGCGCCCATTTGCTGCCTCCGCCTCCTGGGGGTAGCTTGGCCCCATAGGCAAAGACCTTGGTTGGGTCGCGTGACCCAGCGTTGCGAGCACGTCGCTCCGCTCTGCTAAGGTTTTGTTCAGATAACATACCGCTAGCTTGCGCAGCAAAGTAGTTTCGATCCACACTACGAGCCTCAGCTTCTAGTTCTTCCTCGTTGCCAGGCAAGTCTCCGAACTGGGCTTGTACGGTGCGCACAAGATTACTGTGACCATTCAAGCAGGCGACTTCGGCACCGGTAGCACGATCAAATATACGCACACTCTCATCTGAGCTTCCACTGACGATGCGTCGTCCATCAAACTGGACGCAAGCAATTCCCTTTGTGTGGCCAGAAAAGGTTCGTGTACACGCACCGGTCCGGACATCCCAGCATTTGACGCTTCTATCGCCGGATGCAGAGACAATCTGTCCGTCGAGAATCTGGATGGCATTTACTGCTGCACCGTGACCTTCTAAAGTCATAATGAGGCTGTAAGGGGCAAGCGGCTTAAGGTGCAAATGCTGCTGAGCGACGTAGTCCTGCATATTAATTATATATGATGGAAATTTGGCGGCTGATTTCATAGTTGACGAGGGATAGGTATCATCGGTGGGCATCATTTCCTTGCGATTCCAGACTTTGATGGTCTTGTCTTTTGAGCAAGTCACCAAGTAGCGGTCATCGAACCTGAGATTCAGGACTGACTCTGAGTGAGCCTTTTCAATTTCCTTAATGATGCGTCCAGTTGAAAACCGCCACAAGATGACTCTGCAATCACTCCCACCAGACACTATAATGTCCTGGTCGGGCCGCTCATCAAACTGTAAACAGAGAACTGAAGCCGAATGGCCAATGAGCGGTGGGTGCACTAGGCGCAGAGTATCCAGATTCCAGACTCTGATAGTCTTGTCTCGACTTCCACTGACGAGATACTTGCCCGAATACTGAATGGTATACACGCATTCAGTATGGGCTTCTTCTGGGTGGTTAGGGTGTGGAAGTTGAAAGTTTGTAAATCGGCCAGCGCTCCAGTTGTCTTCTAAACGCCTCTTTTGCTTGTATAGAAATTGCCAATTAATCTTAGCTTCCGGGCCAGGAAGAAGAAGCGACGGATGTATTGGGGGGCTATTGGAGACTGCTGAAGTTGTCGAGGATGTAGTGTCTTCGGATGGTAGACCTTGGCGTCTTTCCCGGCGTAGTGCATTGGTAGGCGAGGCGAGAGGCGAGGTGCCGTGGAACGACAGGCCTTCCATCTTGTCCTCTGATTTGACAGGACTGTCGTCGGCCTCGACTGCACCATGCTGCTCACCCCATGCGTTTCCGGTAGGGCGGCTAGCAGGGGAATCGAGTGCATTTTGCGCTCCGTTGTCTGGCAGAGTGCCGTCGCCGAAAAGTTGTTGATTCCGCACGCGCTTCTTATGGGACGGCTTTCCGTAATCGGTATCTTCGGCTGCTCTATGTCGCGTCTTGCGCTCCTTTTCCTTGAAATCTGCGCGCTTCTGCCTTTGCGACTCTTCGAATGCACGCACTTGGGAGAAGTTTGAGTTCCAGCCCTCGAGCCTGAAGAGTAGTTTCCAGAGAGGACTGTCAAGCACGCGTTCCCTCCATGCGCGTGACAATGTGGATGCGCGCAGCAGTGTTTCTGGGCTGAGGTAGGAGAGGATCTGGAAGGTGATTTCGGGGGGTAGGTGTATGACGGGATCGAGATGGAGCAGGGGGTTCAGCTTCTCGACGATGCCGGCTATGGACGAGGTGCGCAGCGAGCGCAAGATGGCGTAGGCGAATTCTAGAATGGCATGTTAGGATTGATTTGGGTCAGCTGGGTACTGGCAGACGTACCACTACGCTCATTTTCGCTCAGAGCCAGAACCCAGTCGGGCAGGCTGAAGGGCAGATCGGGATTGCGATGGGAGTCACCGAGCCTCAGGTCGGTCTGCATAACCATGTCGCCCTCATTCTGGCTCCTGGTATCTTCCGAGTAGCCCTCGTCGAAACGGTTGGCGCTCATGGAGGAGGCGGGACGGAAAGGATGCATGTAGGGTGGGCCGGAAAATTGGACGTTGGCGTTGGCCAAAGGGCCTGCCATTGTGGTGCGCGCGCGAGCGGCGGGTGACGTGTGGGTTGGGCGAGTGGAGACGGGTACGGGCTGGAGCTAGCGGGCGGGTGATGGTATGGTCGATGGGCAAGAGGCTATGCACGAATATGTATGTGGATATGGATGGATGTATAGGGAGGGCAGGCAGATGAGGTCCTGGTCAGGCATGCGGGTTGAGGGGGCTGCAGGTGGTGAGGTGCAGTGTTGCCTGGCGGGCTTTGTGATGGCAGCGAGATGGGGCGGGTGGCGAGATGACTAAAGTGAAGAAGCGAGGGTGAATGGCAGCAAGGCTACATGTCACGGATGGCAGATGGATGGCGGAAGCAGAGTTGAGCGTCGCGTTGAAGCGTCAACGGTTGCTCAGCCGCGCCTCGACAGGCACATGTCGTTTGTTGCGGCAACCATCACGGCGGCCGTGCGCAGAACCGCATTCACTCTTGATCTGCGGCTAGCCTTGGGCCTAGGCGCACGCGGCATCCGGATGGTGCGGCGACATGGCTCGGCTGTGAGACATCAGATGCATGTCCACGCTAGAATCAGGCCCATGGAGCAGCACTAGAAGCTTGCGGCCAGCCTTATCAGCGCCTGGCGGCCGCGGTGGGAGAGGGGGAGTGCGAGTGGGAGCGTGGGGCATTGGGGAGGTGGTTAGTGGGGGCGCGGTCGAGGGATAGGGAGAGGCATTGAGCAGTCTGACGCCGGGACAAGCACGGCAGAAGGATAAGAGAATGTCTTAGTAATGGGTTAATAGTATGTGTCAGAGGAAATGGAAGAAGAAGAGGAGAAGGAGGAAGAGAGAAGAAGAGCATGCAATGTCATTCGGAGGAATATGCCGGTGCCGCAATGGATTGTAAGGTGCTGTTGGCGGGTGATGGTGAGGAAGAAGAAAGGGGTGTAAGTGCTATCTATGTAAGTGCTAGTGCTGTATGTAGTTTAAGTAAGTAGGTAGAGTCGGCTATGTAACGCGGTGCGCTATGCACAGACGAGACGACGGACGGCGAGGGAGGGAGGGAGGGCATCGTCATCGTCATCGTCATCGTGGTCAGGGAGAGCGGCAGAGTGCATATAGATTAGTACACAGTATAGTGGTATGAGGAGAAGGAGGAGGAGGAGGAGTAAATGCTAGTATGTAATGTAATAAGGCGGTGGATGGCGGCCCAAGGCATCCCCTTCTGCCGGCAGAACAGGCCTGTCGTCGCAAGGGAAGGGCGGCGCCTCGTCGATCCACTCATTTCCACGGCACACATGGTGATGAAGCAGCCTCTGCCACGCCCGCCCGCCTGACTCACGGCGCGTCGCCCTGTGGGCAATGGGTGGGCAATGCCCAACCGACGACTCCTGTCATACCCATCCGCCTGCTTACACTGCGGGTTCTGTAGGTGTGCCATGTACGAGACGCACTCATCACACACATACACGACCACCCACGACATGGCAGACACAGACGCACTGTATCGCCATGCACGTCACGTGTCGTTCTGCCGGCCCGGGTGAAACAGCCAACGCGCCCCCTTTGAGGGCGGCGGGCGGGCATGCCACACAGGCGGCATCCTCGACGGCCTCTCCCAGACACAGACACACACACACGCCTTCTCCCCTTCTTCTTCTTCTCCTCCTCCTCTTCTCCTCATCTCTGCATCATTCGCACGCGCTCGTACATCCACTCCCACCCCCCCATCGCCGGCAGACTCCCGCAAAAGCCGGAGCTGCAGCCCTGTGCCCAAGAGCCGCCATTTTGCATGCTGGCCGTCGGCCGCACGACCCCCCCCCCAGCCCTTGGCCGCCCCGTGTGAGGTTTAGCTGGCAGCGACCCTGACCGCCTAGGGAGCCTAGCGCCTGGTGCAAGGAGATCCATGAAAGCAGTATGGAGGGCGGACTATCGTTTCACTCGGGTCTGGTGAGAGCCCATACCACCTATACCGTCTCCCATCCTCCACCACCACCGTCGCCGTCGCCAACCACGCAGACAGCACACGCCCGGATGACCTCGACCGGGCCGCCTGCCCTCATGTCGCACCAGAGCTTCCAGAGCACCTACTCGACCTACTCGCACAGCAGTGCGCGCGACACCCAGAGCACCCAGGCCACCTCCACCTCGACCCTCTTTGGGCCCCCCTCGACCTTCCCCCCCTCGACCTCGTCGACGCCCGTCAACGGCGGTCCCGTCGAAGCCTCGGAAAACGTTCTCAACAAGCGCGCCGACAAGGACACTTCGCTGTTCCAACGATGCCTGACGCTGCAGATGCGCCTGCGCGGCATCCCCGGCTTCGACCGCTGGATGGCCGAGGAGAAGGACAAGGCCGACGACGATGCTGATCCCGTCACCCTGCTCTGGAGGACCTTTCGCCGTGGTTACCCCCTCATGGAGCTCTACAACGCCCTCGAGCCCCGCACCCTGCTCACCATCCCAAACTCCAAGCAGGATGAAAAGAGCCTCAAGAAGAACGAGAAAGTGGCCTGCTACAAGTTTATCCAGAGCTGCGTCGCCGATCTTCGAATTCCCCAGGAGAGCTGCTTCATTCTTGGCGACCTCTACGGTGACGACACAACTGGTTTTGTCAAGGTAAGCACATCTGTCTACACCCGCATCTACACCCCCCCATTTCCCCCACCGCTAACCCGTATTTTTTTTCCTCCTCCTCTACAGGTCACCAACGTAGTCAACCGAGTCTTGGACGAACTCGTAGCCAAAGGCAAGATTTCTGGCGTTACTGCCGAATCCGGCGAGGATGCAGATGGCGTCGTCACCAAGCGCACCCAACGCGAGCACATCATCGACGAGCTGGTCAAGACAGAACGCACCTATGTGCAGCATCTGGAACTGCTGCAAGAGTTCAAGAAGCTTGTGGAAGAAAAGGGTGTCATTAACGGAGATTTGGTCCACGACATTTTCCTCAACCTAAACGCCCTCCTTGATTTCCAGCGCCGTTTCCTCATCCGTGTCGAGCAGACAAACGCACAGCCCGCCGAGGAGCAAAACTGGGGAAACCTCTTCGTTTTGTACAAGGACGCATTCAAAGTCTACGAGCCGTATATTGCAAACCAAAGAAAATGCGAGGCAACGGCTATGCGCGAGTTCGACAAGCTCAAGGAGACTGGAGGACCACCAGAGATGCGACAAATGGTTGAATCGCCCACTCTGCTCGCATCCTTCTTGCTCAAACCGTTCCAGCGACTTACCAAGTACCCACTTCTTCTCCAGGTATGATCTCAGGCGGCCTTGTCTACTCAAATTATTTCTTACTAACGCAACGGTGCAGCAACTTCGAGACAAAGGCGATCTGGACGAAGGTCGGCGAGAAGACATATCAAAAGGTATCGAGGCTGCTTCTTCCGTACTTGCAGGTACCAACGATGCAATTGCTCGCGAGGAGCGTGTCGAAGCCGTCGAGGAACTCAAGATGCTTGTGGAAGACTGGAAAGGCCATCGCATAGAAGGTTTTGGTGACCTTCTTTTGCACGGCCAGTACACAGTTTTGAAAGGAGAGAGTATGAGCTCGAAGAACGAGGAACGAGAAGTAGGTGGTTCCCTTCTGCTTCAACTCCCACAAGCAGTCAGCTAACATGCTCAGTACAAAATCTACCTCTTTGAAATGATTCTACTCTGTTGCAAAGAAATCAATGTCAACAAGCCCAAGAACAAAATGTCTACCCGATCTCTGGTCACTAAGGACGGAAAGCCAAAACTGCAGCTCAAAGGCCGCATTTTCATGCAAAACGTTACAGAAACAATATCACTCCAAAAACCAGGTAAGACTACTTCTACATTCTCATCTCACGTAAGCCCAAACTCACACTTGTAGGTTCATATACCTGTCAAATCTTCTGGAAAGGCGATCCCGGCATTGAAAATTTCATTATCAAGTTCACTTCGGAAGAGACCATGAAGAAATGGGCCATGCAAGTTGACACCCAAAGACGCATATGGAAGGACCAGGCCCGGACCAGTGCCAGTACGACACACTCTAAACCCTCAGATACCCAATTTGCGTACATGCGTGATCAAGTTCTGGAGAACCCCTACCAAGAAGACGATGACGATGAAGGCGACGATGACATTGATCCCGCGACTGGCTATCTACGCAATCCATACGGTGTAAGACAAGATTCCTCTACTCCTTCCCTACGGTCACGTTCCACAACCGGCGAAAGCGGCCCTCCAATAAATGACGGAGACTCCCGAGTACCACCTCCGCGTTTCCCTCTAGGCTACAACGGCCAACCACCACTAACACTGCGTACTCAGCAGATACAGAATGCCGCCAATCAAGAATCTTACTTTTCTCCAACAGCAGAGACACCATTGCAAACCCCAATGTCAACACACTCCAATGCACGAACCAGTCAATCATCAAATAACGGCACTTTCCCCTTTCCCCGGCAAGCAGCACCAAATGGTTACCCACACGAAGAGAATAACCGACATACTGCCCCCGCACAATCACGCCACGGATCTCGTGGTGAGAACAATGCACACCAGTCAGCCCGCGCTCAACGCCCATCACTACCCGCCAACGCCACCATTGCAGCCCAAGGACGGATGCGCGCGGCTAGTAGCCCTGATATCAACTCCCATCTCCAAGGTCAACCACGAAGAGCACCCCAGCAACCAGTACCTGAAGTACCGCCCTTCCCCACGCATTATGCTTACAACGCGGCCATTGTCAACCGCAGCGCCAGCAATTCTCCCAATCAAGCACCACCACGAGCGGCGACTCAATCACCTGCCATTCAACGTGACCGCCTCATTCAGCAACGGACAGCCTCGGAGTTGGCAAACCAGACCCCCGAGTTCCACAATGGTGTCATGCGTCATGATCCAAGCTTTACTTCTGTGAACCGTACCATGACGCCTGCATCATCTTTCGAGCGCAGCCAAGGTACCCTGACGCCAGCTTCGATGGATTCTCGAAACATGTCACCTCCACTTGGCCAGGATCCAAGCATACCAACTCAACTCAAAGTCAAAGTCCATTGTCCCTCGGCAGGCAGCTCAATGGTTCTGGTCGTCAGCACCAACATCAGCTACCAGTCGCTCAAGGATCGCATTGACGCAAAGTTGCAGAGGTCGACATCAGTGTCTCTTGGATCTGGTCAGGTCAAGCTAAAATACCTGGACAGCGACAACACCTATGTCAGCATACAATGTGACGATGACGTTCAAGAGGCATTTGAAAACTGGAAAGAACAGCAAAGTAATATCAACCCCGGTGGCGGGCTCGGTGAGATTGAACTTTTCTGTCAACGATGATGTTCCTCTTCTTCTTTCCTTTCCTCTGGTCCAACATAGAGAGAGAAAAGGCTGGGGCGGGGTCTCATCATTTGTGCTATACGTTACTGCTGCTCTTGCTTGCATTTGGGAGTTTTTTTATACAATGGGGGGTCGGGGGTTCCAAATCACCTTTTTCGTTTTCCAGACGGGGGGGCATGGGTTGGGAGTTTTTTGTCAAGGGTGATTTTGATACACACACTCACACACACACAACTGGGGCCCTTTTATCGTCCGATTCAGGAACAACACACGGGCTTGTTGTCTTCTTTTATTTTTCTTCTCATGCCTTTTTCAAGAATTATTCTACAATCGGGCGAAGAAAGAGGGAGTGGCATGGTATGGAGGAGAGAGAGATGCAGGAAAGGTAATCTCTTTGTTTGTTCTGTTTTGTTTTTGTGTGTGTGTCTGTCTTTTTTCTTTTACGGGAACAATTTTATGAGCATGTTATTGAGAGAGTGTAGGAAGAAGGGTGTAGTAGGAGGAGAAGGGGAGGGGGGGGATGGAAGAAGAGAAGAAGGGCAGTTGGGAAGAATGAGGTTTCCCGATGTGTTTGCGGGCTTTGATATATGATACACCAACTTTTTTTTTCCTTTTTTATTTTATTTTCCGGGCCTGGCAGAGAGAGTGAGGGGAAGGATGGAGGGGAGATTTTTTCTCTTTCGTTTTCAGAGGCACACACACTTTATATACCACGTCTTTTGTTGTGTCAGTAGGAAGAAGAGAGACAGAGTACGAGAGAGAGAGAGAAAGGGAGAAAAAAAGATTCCATCACTTGTTTTATTATATCCATGTTCCCTCCCCCTCTTGTTTTTGTCTTCTCGTTTTCTTCTCTTTCTATTCTTTACTAACCTCTTTTTTAGTGGGGGTTCTTTCTTCCTGTATCTTCTTCTTCTTATTTTCTTCCCCCTTCCCCATCTTCTTTCCTTGTCTTGTCTTTTTTTTTGGGGGGGGGGGGGGTTGGATGGTTGATAGAAAGAGAGTTGGTATATTGTGTTTGTTGTATGTGTGCGGTGTGGGAATAAGACTTTTTTTTTATATATACTCTTTATATGAATGAATGACTGAATGAAAGAATGAAAAATTACACTTATCTTTTCTTAGACTTGTTTCTCTTTTAGCTTACATGTATTGGGTTTCTGGGCTGTTCCTTTTAGTACGGTGTAAGTGAGTGTGGAGAGTTTGCGAAGAGAGAGAGAGAGGGGGGGGAGGGAGGGTGGTGGATGTGGAATAGATGTTGTGAAAAAGTGTTATGTTGGGCTGTTTTTTTTTCTTGTTTTGGAGATGGATGGAAGTGGTTGGGTGAGTTGGGTGAGTTTAGGTGCGGGATTGGAAGAGAAGGGTGAGTTGAAAACAGGGTGAAAGGAGAGTAAAGAGTATTTGCTTGTCTAATCTATTGATTGTCACTCTGTGGTTCTTCTTTGTGCTGGATTATAGTCTACATGTGGATCAACTCTTTTGGAGCGTGTCATGTGTAGATGTAGTGAAGTATCTCTTGTATCGGCAGTAGAAGCACTAGAAGCCTATGGGCACAAGGATATAAATGGTTCATCTGGCTCATGCGCAGCAGTCTTGTTTTTGTATTGCTACTTTTATCTCTCTCACCGCATACACATCTGGGGTTATTCCAGAAGCTGAGAGTGAGAAAAGAAAACGATGGACAGTAGAGCTAGCATCCAGTTGGGCAATAAACTAGGGATATTATTTCTAGCTAACTTGCACAAAAAAGTCCAAGTCACGTCTGGAGGCGACGGATAAGAAAAGAAAAAGGTATAAGAAAACTCGTTACATTCGTTGCACTTTGATCTCATGATCCAATTTTGAAAGATAGAAAAAAAGGAACATCCAGTCCTAAGAAAAACACAACAGGGGAGATACAGAATAACCGTTTAGTTCTTCATTTTCCGTCCTCTGTCACATCAATATCCAATTGACGTGTATACTAGTCCTCGACACCTCTCTTTCTCGTCAACAACGAGGCCCGAGAAGTGTCGGGGCAGTGGTGGCCGAAAAAAAAGAAACTTCAGTTCGCTAAAACGCTTCAATGCCATCGCTATGCAGCCATCTGGAACAGAAGGAATAGGCAATCAGGAAAAAAAAATAAACAAAAAGTGTAGAACGAGTGGAAAAGGGTTCGTGTGGTTCGTCCGGTAGAGGGGAGATCGTCCTGCGCGTTGCTAGTGCATACGCATGTATATACACCTGCACGTTGTGATCTCTGACCCAGCCAGTGGATAAGACAACATTACACTGCCCATCTCGAAATAGATCAAAGGAAAACGGGAAGCGAGGAGTGTCGTTGTTTCGAGCCGAAAAAAAACAGGGTCATCATCGCACTTGATTTCGTAAGAACAGATGTAAACAGGTTCGTAGTCATTTGGGTCGTTGGTATCGCTGAGCTTGGGCTCTTCAAGTCTTTTTGGAGTGGGAAACATCGATGCGGTTGTAGGGGGGTTTTTTCGTAAGATCTTGTGTCGTTCGTTGTTGCTAAAATATTTGATTATCATGATGGCCATGATGGTTGATGTCATGGTCCATTGGGGCGTTTTGTTTTATTTTTTCGTCTGGGTGGTATATTTCCTTCTTTAAACTCGGTAACCAGCATCCTGGAGACAGCCTGAGCAACGCTCATAGGCTCGGACGTATCCGCGTCCGCAGCAGCATGCAGATGGAGTGGATGGCGTAGCGGAAGCCTTGCTTGGTCGTCGTCCCGCTGCAGCCGCTTGTGCAGCGTCAAGGCCACAATCGGAACTCCTAGGGCTCGTACCACCACTGATGGTACTTGAGCTATCGTAGTCGTTGGATGAGGTCGTATTCCGTCGGCCCGCTCCAATTGGGGTTGGGAGGCCTTGAGCTCCCTCGCCGGGTCGCTGGCCTGGGTACATTCCATCATTTACCGAGAAATTGCGGCAAATCATGTAGGCTCGGGTAGCGGCAGCATTTTTGGCTAGCTCCTCGGATTCATACTCAACATCTGTAGAGTATTCACGGTTGTTTACTCGTACAGTTGAGCCGTAGCCGTAGCGTGTGCGGAAGGTCTGGAAGAGTGGGTCGGGCCAGTGGCGTCTTTGGCAAAGGCCTGTCGTTCAACGGTTAGTCTTTGGATCGTCGGGCACTCAAAACAAAGTACATTGTGCAGAAACCTTGATCAGAACGTATCTCTTTGAACGCCTGGTCATGTGGGTCCCTCGATACTAAGCGGTTAGGCAGGAGTACCAGCCAAATCGTCCCACGCCAATTGGTGCTTGTATGTGATTTCTCACATGGCAGCTAATACCCGAATACACGGTACACGGCCAAAAAAAGGGGCCCTGTTGGGTACTAACCTGTCAGGTACATGACGTAGAACATATTGAAAGGACGGATTTGGTGGTGGTGGTGGTGGTTGACGTGTTATGGAGCGATTGGGAAAAAAAATTGACGAATGGGTGATTCAATGGCGACTTGGCCGTCCGAAAGTAGGGCTGCGGTTGTACAGGAATTGGTGAATTGGCAGGCGTTTGTTGGCGGTGACGATAGGGCAGGGCGAAGGGGAGGTAAGTCGTGGCAGTGGTTGTACAGCAGATTGAGTTCAAGGTGTGGTTGACAGGTGCCAATAGAGAAACGACAGCTGTTCAAGGAAGAGGGAGGATGCCAATCTATGAGGGGTAAGGAAGAGGGAGCGGCTTGCAGTCAGTCGAACGGGGGTGGGGGAAGCATAAGTGCCTACTGTGGGATGGAGTAATATAATGCACCAGACCAGTGTAGCACGTACCCAAGCGCGTCTCGCCCACCAGTAGCAACCGAGAGGCAAGAGGGCTTGCGGAAATGAATAAGCTGCGGGTCCTGTTGCGGCTCTGTAAGAGAGACCCATAGTATGTGCTGGCGAGAAGGGAGCCAACGGCAGAGGTTCGAGAATTTACGGCTAGTAGAGAAGAGTCAAACCCCAAGAGGTACAGCCTCACCGGTTCACTCTTGCCACCGTGCTGCCCGCAGTAGCGCTCGAAAAAAAACGGCTGTCGATCGGAGACAGTTTCTGTAACCCGTTCGTCAAGGCTGGACATGTCTCGATCGGCGGCATGCAGGTTTAGACGCCTAACAAATATGCATAAACAACAGATTGGCAGCCATGCACCCTTTACGGGCGCTCTTTTTTTTCGCGTTTTTCGCTGCAATGGGGGGCCCACTAATGCAATATGCAACGTGAGGAGGGGAGAAGGCAAAAAAATAATACGTCAGACTCTGCAACCTTTTGACAAGTGTACCGAAACCAGGGAACCTTGGCGACAGACTGCGTGGAGTTTCCATGTAGGGTTTCTGGATGGGCAGGGTCTAGAGGGGTTCAGCACGACTAGACCAAACATGCATGGCAGAGCAAAATAAAAATGGGTCGGCTAGTCGGCTAGGGGGCCCTTTTGGAAGCGCTTGAGGTTGGCAGCGGAGGGAGGGCGTGTACACAGGATTCCGTGAGGGAGCGAGGGATGCAAAGCATAGTGGCTCGAAGCGAGAATGCATCGCATCCGGCATAGCATGGGGCCATCAGGGGTGGGCGTGGCCAAGCGGTCAAATGAGGGGAGCTGATTGATGCGTTCGAGGGATGTCGAGATACCTGGGGTTGGTGCTACCAGAAAGCATCAAGCGTCACTGCCAACGCATACATGCAGCGAGCACGGCCCCCAGATCATGGCTGCTTTGCAATGCGCCTGCATCTCAATGAGGCAAAGGGTCAACGGTTGTTAACTGTGAACCGTGTCCATGCAGGCATAAATTGGCAGCTGTGGAGATTGTGTGCCGGGGTGGGTTGCTCGGGGCTGGAGCAAGAGCTGAAGCTGGAGCAGCATGGCAAGATGTGGTGGAGTAGATTTGGGACAGGCCATGATTGACGAGAAGGGGAGCAGCCAGTAGGGGCCATGCGTTCCTGCGCAGGCCTGCCGGGCCATTGCGAGAGATTTCACAATGCAACTTGTTGACAGACCCTGGAGGCGTTGACCAAAGGCAGCGGTCCAGTGTCATGACTGGGTCCACACTGCCATGGTTGAGCGAGGCAGGCAGACAGAGATGGAGAGCATGTTGCCGAGGACGAGATGAAGATTTTTTCCTTCTCTCCTCTGAATTGGACACAAAGGGATCGTGCGTCGGGCGGCTGCAGCGTGTACTCGATGTCTGGCCTGCCGCGTAGTGGGTTCTCGAGCAGCAGCAGCAGCAGCAGTACTTACAAAAGGCTGGGTGAGCACAGAGCAGGTCGTCGTGGAGCGGACGCATAATCTCGGTGAATCCATAGGTCGAGGCGGTTCACGACAGGCAGCGGTGCATGCTAGGTCCCAGGGCCAGCAACGGCCGCTTTTTGCCTGGCGCCGATCCAACGCGGTGGTCGATACATGGCCTCTCTCTGCCTCCATGTGTACTGCAACATATGTACATATCCAAGTACGTACATGAAGCGGGGCCAGGGCGCTTGTTCACGGCGGCAACGAAGCGCGAGCAACGATGACCGTGGGCGACCAGACAAAGAATGATAGCCGTCGTCGTCGTCGTGTGGTGGCGTAGCGGGCGCCTTACTCCAGCGCCAGCCCATTATCTCTCCCCCATGTGGAGAAGGCAAAAAAGCCTTCAGCAGCCTGTTTCGCGCGCGGGAGATCTGTGGATGACGCGAGCGTACACCCGCAAGCACGGCCACCCGCACACCCCCAAGCTGCAAAATAGGCGGTGAAGAAGGCGTCGTTGTCCGGCAAAGCCATGCGCCCCTCTCTGTGCGCACTGATGTCTCTCCATCGAGGATGCGTTAGCAGACGAGACAATACAGACCAAAGTCCGGAACAAGCAGCGGGCGGTTCAATGGCGGCCATGGACGAGGCGTCGTCGTCCTGTTTCGACCATGTCCATGTCGTCTTCAAATCGGCCTTGTTCCATTCATACTAGGCGGTACTAAGACCCACATGTTCTCGCACCACTCCAACCAGCCACGGCCTCGCCCTCCTCTTCAGCCTCGTCGCCGCGCTGCCTGACCGTGACAGCGATACTTCCAATGGACGAGGGGCCTGCAGGGCAACAGGCTAACTAGCTGGATGTACATGTGTATGTACATACGTACGTATCCGTGTGTACTACTTACTTGGAGGGGAGGGGGGCCGGCCTGTGGCCATGTCCCACTACCGATGCCTGCGACTAGGTGGGGGGCCATCCCGACACGCTCCAATCCCGTGACTTTGCCTTCACGCTTCTTTCCGTCCATACATGCACAATACGAGGCCGACGCAACAAGAGGCCCGGTCCACTCCCCTCCGTGCTTGACGGGCAACAATTCCATAACGGCCAAAATCCCCCCGTATTGCCTACTGGCTCACCGTGTCTGCCGTCTGTCTTGCCCAGCCCAGACGGCCGGCAGCAATGAACCCCGCAGCCCAACCCCGCTGTCAGCCAGGATTCCCTCTTTCATAACTCATCTACTAGCTCTGATCGCTCTCCAATGTCCGACGGGCAGCAATCAGCCTAGTCTGCAATCTATGTACACATGTACATATGTACACATATGCCCATGTCCCATGTCGCCATGTCCACTGTCCACATACGTATCTACATGATGCCCGTGGTCCTGGGCGGGGCCAGCATGTGCGGATAGCCCTTCTGTGACTGCGGTATCCTGAGCAAAAAAGCATCCATACCACAAGTACGGAGCTGGTCTCAACCTTTTTCCTATGCAAACCATAGGGGAACCGAAATGGCCGCTGGATTTCACATGGCTCTCCACCTATGCCGAAGCTTGAAGCTCCGACACCCACAACCTATACATATACCCTGTGGACTGAATGTTTCAACATTGTCCACACGTCAATCAACGTATTACACCAGGCCTAGACTCAAGTCACCCACCGAATTTACTTTGTACCCGCCCAATAATTTAGCGAGCCGCCATCATGCCCAAGATTGTCCGCCTCACGTTCTTCAAGATCGGCGACAAAGACACCATCCAGGAAGTAATCGGCCTGTACAGCACTCTGGCCCAAGACGCAACAAAGGTATGTTAAACAAGTCCGCTTCTTGACTCGTACACCCTACGTCCGACCGTCGTCTATGCCGCACCTTTCCCTGTGAGGAAGGCACTCATACTGCGTCCGTTCTTTCACAGTGCCCCAAAGCGCATTACATAATCGGACCGTGCATGCACGTCAGGCCCATTTCGTCATGCCCGACACGCCCAGAATCTTATCGCCCTCGGGGCATTTGTTGCGCCTTTTTTAATTCCTCACCGCGGACGAATCGTACCATGGCTACATGTTTTCCCTAGTCGCTTGCCCGTGTTTCAAGCGGCTACGGTACGTGGCGGGTGCAGAGTACTGCCGCGACTAGGAAAAATGGGGTGGAGTGACCGTCGTGGGTGTCTGCATATCGCGGAAACTTCCTTGTGATCGCGATGCATGTGGGCGGCTCAGGCTCCTCCTTCCTAACCGACATGGTGCTAAATATACCCTACCCGCCAATCTTGTGCTCTCGTGATTGCCGAGGTGCTTTGTCTTTTTTGTACCCTAGTATACAAGCTAACGTCATATCTCTCTAGGACGGAAAGCAGTACATCCAGCTTTCCCAGGCCAGTGCTCCCTACGAAGACCACCGCAACCAAGGCTACAACCTCATGGCTCGCTGTGTCTTTGATTCCTTGACCGACATGGAATACTTTGACCAAGCTGACGAGGTTCATGCGGGAATCAAGAAGCAATTGATGCCCAAGTTTGAGGCAAGGCCATTGATCATCTACTCGGATATGCAGTAGAGAGTATCTGAAGTTACAAGTTGTTTGGAAGTTGGCATGCTTGCAGAACAAACATGCATAGCATTCTCTTCACTCTGCTTCCATCCTTGCCCATCCTTCCAGCTCACAAGTACTATTGTACGACGATGCTCTGTGCTTGCAATTTAGGAAATGGAAGTATAACGAACATTACGAATCAAAATGATTTCTATACACAAACCCTGCTTTGGTGAATGTATTGTTTGTGAATGAAGTAGCAATTGCTTGGCCAAACACCACACATTTCACCCATACTCAAGGTTTATTGTACACCTCACTTCCATTTGAAGTCACCACGGAAATACCAGATGTGATTTCATATTATATACAATGAGCTTCAAAATACTACAATAACGTAATAATAGAGAATACAAAAAGCCACTGAGGCGGATCCACCGCAACATCCCAAAAGCTCTTACTATTATACACAATGGCGATTGTCTCAAGGCACCAAGTCCATTGTCTCAAATTTCTTCTTTGTTCACCTCTTGTCAGTCCACTACAAAAAAACCAATCCCCATTCCTCCCTTCTCCCACAAAAGTCCACTCCAATCTTTCTTCTCCATCACACAAGAAAGCAAATCTTGAGAATTATCAAAAACACACTTTGATCATGTCCTCTCCACACACCATCCAATCACCGACAACCCAGGAGATTGAAACCTCCTTCATCCAAGTCCTCAGCAACGGCCCGCTGAGTCTCGAAGCCATCACAGACCACATGACCGAATTGGTTCCAGGCCACGAAGACGCCGTCGTAGCAGTCTTCGAATACATGGTCGAAGCCATTGAAGGAGAAGGGGAATCCACATATCAACTCCGCCCAGAATATCTTCCAACCAGCAGCAGCAGCAAGCAAGCGACTCCAACCCGCAAAACACCGCCAGCACCCCTTTCCTTCGCCCGCTCACCAGCCCGCTCCCCCCAACCTTCCTCCTCCCCTCTTTCCTCTCCACCAACCCATCTCAGTTCGCCAGCATCGTCCCTCCCACCCCGACCACGCCCGCGCTACACTTCCTCCTCCCCGCTCTCCAGTCCACCACCGACTTGTGAACTGCGCTCGCCGACACCACCACCACCACCACCATCGCCGGCGGCAAGACCGGTCAGACGTACGCAGCGTGCGGGGCAAAAGGGCAAGGGCAAAGCCAAGACCACTACTACGACTTCGTCTCGCGTGACCAAGAAGAAGACTGGAAAAGGCAAAGGAAAGAAAGGAGGCATGGAGAAGGTGCAGTGTAGTGGTGTTACAAAGAAGAAGAAGAAGAAGAAGAAGAAGAAGAAGACGAGGTGTGGGCTTAGGAAGATGTGTGAGGTTGGGCAGGTGTGGGATTGTGGGAGGCATGGGTGAGGAGATGGATGGAGGCAGGGAGGACAAGTGATTAGGATGTAGACATATGTATGAGCCTTAACTCTTTTTTTTTGTAGTCGGTATGAGGAGAGTGGGAGCATAGGAGATATGGAAGGAAGGGATTGATGAGTGTGTTTGTGGAACGAGGATGGAAGAGACCAATAGGGGGATTGGTACATATGTCCAGAGAGAGAGACTACTACATCTAACGTGGTTCACAAGCGAATGGCTCACCCAAGCGAATGGCTCACGCCCCACCAGCGCGTCGACGTCAACACTATAACGCGTCATGTCTCAACAACGTAATTATCTA